GGGAAATTGATGCCCCGACACCCGATTGGGCTGTCAATTTCCCGTGCGTAATACAAAATGACTGAAAAACGGCAAACTTCGCAAGGCTATATTATCCGCATTTTACAACATTTCGCAACGAAACTTTGGAATATTACTAATTGTCGTGAAGATAGCTGTACTGAGAAGAACTGGATTGAGGCCAAACGTTGACAGTTTGGCATTTAGTCGGCTTTGCCGAGTGCCGACCTCGTTTTCGAGGGCTGCAAAACTGTCCTAGTGATCCAGTAAGGACGATCCCTTAGCACGATCCAGTAAGAGCCATCCAGAGCCGGCCATAACAGAATAGTAGAAGTCAGAATTGAACCTCTCTAGATCACCAATTATTCATCTGCATTTATTTTCTGATTTTTCCCAACCATCTAGTTCCTCCCAATGAGCCGTTGAATTTAAAAATCAGAGAGATTACTTCAACATCTCTTCAAATACTATGGCATTCTGGCTTCAATGGATATAGTCCTATCACTTCGTACAAGTTAGAAATTCGTAGAAACTCTGCTCGTGACTGGAGCACAGTTTCAAAGCATATAAATTCAGAGAATTACACTGTGGACAATTTGAAACCTTATACAGTGTATCATCTCAGAGTGTTTGCTGAAAATAAGATCGGATGGAGTCGACCCAGTGAGAGTGTTTGGAATCGTACGGGCGAAGACTGTAAGTATAGATTAAACGTGATTAATTTCCCAATCAGTGAAATTGATCCGCACATGAATCGCTGAACAGAAAAGATTGCCCTTACGCTAATCTATTTATTGTTACCATTTTAGCTCCATCCAGCCCAACTGGTCTCCAATGCCAGACAATCAATTCCAGTACGATATTCCTAACCTGGAACAAACCATCTCTACCCAATGGTAAACTTCGAAAATACAATATCCAATACAGTAACCAAAGCAACCACGCTGACGTCAGCACAGCATCAATGACCCGCTATATCCGCGGACTACAGCCATTCACGTGGTACACATTTCGTATACAAGCCGCCAGTGGAGGAAATCCTGTATTGTTGTGGGGGAATTATTCTTCCTACGTGAGCTGTCGATCTGGGCAAGCAGGTATTTCGAGTGCCTGAGTGTACGTTAAGGCGCTAATGGGGATACGAAGGCCCCGATAATTCTCTCACAAATTTAACTAATGCTTAATCTATAGGGTCATCTGGAGAAAAACTGTAACAGTAATGCATAAATTGTCTCGAAATTATTTTTTTTCGTCTTTGGGTTTTGTTGATGGAGATTTCGAGATTTCGATTTCTGTAGCCCTGCGATCACTGAGCTGTACCACAAGAGCTAAGGGGCCAGTCATTATTTATGGCTGGGGGGGGGGCTGAAAAGAAATTTTATGGGTGGAAATGGGTGGGTTGAATAAAAATGCACCAAGTCAAAGGGTGGGTAAAGTAAAAATCATTAAGTCAGAAAATACTAAAATATCAATTCAAGATATTGTTTGTTTTATTAAGAACAAATAAATATCATTTACTGATATCGATTTGCATCGTATTCCATTTGAACCTGCCCGATAACAGTCATGAAAAAGTTACAGAGTTCATATATACTTGTTGGCTTTTTTGCCCTCTCAAAAACTGAAATAAGTCAATTTAGCTTTTAAATAAGTAAATTGACAAATTGCCCGTTCAGTTTTTCTGTGGATTAGGTTTGTGGAAGGATATATAATGTGGAAGGGTTTATAACAAGATTAAATTAATTTTAAAACTCTTTCATTTTCGTTTTAAAACTTTCGTCTTTGTTCACAGTACTAACTTTTATAAAAAAGATAGAATACAATAAATTTTAGAAATTGGATTTAGATGTTTCTTCTATTTTTTCAGCGCCAATAGATGCCCCAAGGAATTTGGTGGTGACTGCATCAGGACCTCATTCTATCTCGGCCAGATGGCAGGTATATAAAACTTAAGAAATTTTTGTAGCTGTTACGGGTAACATGCATGTATGTGGGTATTAATGCTCGTTTCAGTTTACGAAAGCATGGAATAGAACAAAGGTAACTACAGTATAAGCATTAAACTGAATTAAATCAGCTGCACTAGCGAATAACGCTTATACTGTACATAATTCGATGTACATATTACTTTCTAGAAAATTCCCATTGGGTCTGAAAATGGCATTGTCATTGGTTATTATCTCCAGTACAAGACCCCGTGGGATGTAAATTATACACGCATATTTATCGCTGGGAATGATACATTGCAATACAATATAACTGGGCTGTTTCCATGGACTAACTATACAGTTCAGATTGCCGCCATCACAGTGGCACTGGGACCATGGACGTTGCTAAGGGCATCGGAGACAGACGAGAGTGGTAAGTAAGGATATGTTAGGACAGTGGCAAATTATTCCCTTGGTTTCACTACATTACTTCCATTAGGTTTCCCCTGTAGTAACACTGGATCAACAAGAGATGACCCTTACTGGACCTCTAGGAAGAACAGTTAGAACTCATAGAGCTATCCAGTATAAATAAAGTCAGTTTAGTTTAGGTTTTCTCCTGTAGTAACACTGGATGAATAAGAGATGACCCTTACTGAACTCTAGGAAGAACAATTTAGAACCGATTAGAGTTATCCAGTATAAATAAAGTTAGTTTAGTTTAGGTTTCCTCCTGTAGTAACACTGGATCAATAAGAGATGATCCTTACTGAACCTCTAGGAAGAACAGTGTAGAACTGATCAGAGCTCTCCAGTATAAATAAAGTTAGTTTCGTTTAGGTTTCCTCCTGTAGTAACACTGGGTCAATAAGGGATGACTTCTACGGGAACTCTAGGGAGAACAGTATATAACTGATAGAGCTGTCCAGTATATTAAATGAGGTTAGTTATTTAAACGAAATGTTCTTTCAAATATTTTACAGTTCCATCCAGACAGCCAAGTAATGTCGTTGTTAAAGCAATTACTTCAAACAGTCTATCAGTCCGCTGGAACCCACCACCGTTGGAAAATCAAAATGGTGAAATACGCGGTTACATGGTGTTATATGGTGTGGCAGACACCACTGGAGTAAGCTGGAACCTCACGACAAATGATACGAGCGTAGAGCTATCTGGGTTGATGATATTTACCAGTTATATGGTGAGGGTTCGGGCATTCACTGATGTTGGGTTTGGACCGTATAGTGATGAAGTTGTGAATAAAACTTTAGAAAGTTGTAAGTATTTGTTATATTACTGATGTTGCAAGCAAGTATATTATATTTAACAATGTTATACGGTGCTACACCGATGGCGAAACTAGCCATGGCAACCGAGCATGCCATGGTAATAAACCTGCATTTAAATAGGTTTATAAAGACATTTCTAACGGTTTTAATTATGCATTAAAAGTTTGCATTGCACGACCTGTTGCTATGGCTAGCTTCGCCACTGTGCAGTAAACTGCTGTATTGACACTGGACCTATAAGGGATGAACTATACTTAACGTCTAATGAGAATATCTTGGAACTGATAGAGTTATCCAGTGGCAGCTATCCAATATAATATATATAAGTTTAGCTCTTCAGGTTTGTTCCCTGGTAGAACATGAATAAGCCAAACTTTTAGCAACCCAGATATACGCTTAATTGTGAAGAGATTGTCCGTCAAACCTCTGGGCTGCTAACTTGTATGAGTGAAAACCATTCTCGTCCCCAGAGCCATTTTATTCGGTCACTCGTTGGAAATTAGGCTCTGGTAGATAATTACTAAAGGAGAAATCTGATTGGCTTCTCAGAGAACTGCTATTTCCCAGAAGTTTACTCTGGGCAAAATTATTCTATCGAAATATGTCAACACAAACACTTAATTCGTTTCTTCGTGGGTTCTGAAGCATCCCAATTCGGAAATATGTGCTTTAGAAACTACTGCAAGTTTTCTTGCACTTCCGGTTCTGTGTTCCATGCCTATGGAAACCTATTATTTATTTATGTAAAATATATAAACAGGGTTCGTGTACAAAACTTGAAAGTCCTTGAATGTCCTTGAATTTGAAAACAAAAATTCAAGGCCTTGAATGTCCTTGAATTTGTAAAGAAGTGCTTGAAAGTCCTTAAATTTTTCTTGCTTTTGTTCTTCGATATTTTCTGAAATTGTTTGACATTCAAAACGGACATTTTCGGTTGGATTGATTTTGCATGTTCATATATGACAAAGTTGTTTGAAAGTCATTAAAGTTGCGTTTTGAACAATTCAACGTCAGATTTACTGATTTCTAACCCCTTTTCTTCAGTATTTAGTCTTTGAATTTGCTGATACATGGCCTTGAATGTCCTTGAAAAGTCCTTGAATTTGACTCTTCCTGACATGTACGAACCCTGTATAAATATTTAAATATTTATTAATCATGTCGTTATATTTGGACTCATACATCTCATGGCTTTTATATCTTTTATATCATTAACTCGTAATTTACCTTATTTGTCTTATTCTAGATCCAAGCTCTGTGATAGGTTTAACCTACAATATAACCAAAACCTCGGTTATAGTAACATGGCAACCGCCCCAAACACCGAACGGTATTATAACCTCTTACACCACGTATCTGAACACTACCACTGTACGCATATTCCGTCGTCCTGGAACAAACATCACAATGTATAACGTGACCAGCCAATCACGCGAAAACACTACTCGTGCTACACAAGTCGTTCTCACTGGTTTCTATGGAAACGTGACGTATTCACTATGTGTAGCGGCGCGAACAAGCGTGGGCTATGGGCCATGTTCCCATAATCTTGTTTTTAAGACGAGTAAGTTTCTCGCCACTTAATAGGGAGTTTACGATCTGCGACGCGGCCGGCTCAACGACGCGGTCTAAATTTTAGCTGAAGAATGAGCGCTAAGCAATTCGATTACTGTAGTAAATATTTGACTCTTTCAAATAACCTTACAAAATGCTATGTTCGGCTAAAGCGATGCAATGTTTGCTATAATTTCGACTTTTAGTAACACCTCTTGTGTCGCGCATTTAGCTTTCGCGTTGCCTGAAAGACGTAATAATGCTTTTTTAACGTTGTGTTGAGAATGAGAACGCGGTTGACAATACTCATGGGACCACAAATTATTGACAGTTTTTGTCTTGCATGACAAATTTCTTTGTAAGTTCTTTGTAGGTTTGCATGTCGATAAAACACATAATACTGTTGTTTGTGGAAACACCAAATTTCTTTGTTTTGAAAGCGCGTCGTCGAGCCGGCCGCGTCGTAGATCGTAAACGTCCTAATGCTGCTGCTACTGTACCATAAATAAATGACAGGGTGTCCACGGGAAGAGATTATTTCGCTGGCCTCAGAGTGACAAAACGCAACAAAGCAACGGTTTTTCTAACACTAACCGTACTCCAAACACCAATTCTTACCCTTATCCTAACACTAACCTAACCCTGTTCCAAATTTGTTTCTAAACCAATCTTAAAGAAAAACGTTTTGACGAAATGTCATTCTGAGGTCAGCGAAATAGTTGATGCCGTGTCCACGGGCCTTGAAAATCCTGGAAAGTCCTTGAATTGGAAAAAAAATTCCAGGACTGGAAAGTCCTTGAAAATCAGTAGAAGTCCTTGTAAGTTCTGGAATTAATTTCCTTAACTTCCAGCTGTGCCAACATTAGTGATTATGATTAAAATTACTGAATAAAGTGGTGAATTATTTGCTTTGCAAATCCGTACCATTTTCAAAGATATTTCCCAGTTCTAGGTCCTTGAATTTACTGAAAAAGGGCCATGAAAGTCGAGGATGGGCCTATGTCATAGTATGACGTAGGCTCGGATGAGCGTTGGTAAGAGTTGCAACACTCGTTCGCGTTTGACCGCAAACTCTCATCGACTCTCATGAATTTTGAGCTCGTTCAAATCTTGATTAGTTTCGATGAGAGTTTTTGCTCGGCTGACCAGTAATTATAATATTCAATCAACTCTCATCAACTGTTATGCAACTCTTGTTCTCGTTGCAAACTCTCCCTTCTCAACTCTCATACTCAACTCTCTCGTCGTTGCAACGGGCTGGGGGAAGTTGCTGAATTTGTGATTCAATATTTTTCATCAATATTCTTTACATTTGAATTCATTTTAGATTTCACGAAGAAGGTAATCTCTGAAGAGAGAGATTTCACATCTTCCATCATTGACGATCATTTGCCTCTCATAGCGGGTGGGGCGGCCATTTTGTTCGTCCTTCTTATTGCTATCTTTGTTTGTTGCTTTATAAGACGAAGACAAAGAAAGAAAGATGGTAGGTTAAACCGACTGTGTCTGCTATTTTACCTTAATTGTCATTTATCGAAATAGGAAATATCCCACTAACTCTATAACGAAGAACAGCCCTTGATTAGGTCTTCAGGTGGTTCATGTGCCTTTTGCTTCTAGATGACTGCCACTTTTACTTACACTGTAAAAATGTCACATGTTGTCAACAAGATGTGTTCGCAACAGGCTTGTAGCAAGCTTCTCAACAACTTGTAACGATGTTTTTATCTTATCAAGTTGCTACAAGGTTGTTACTCACAACTTGTTGACAAATTGTTGAATTGCAGAACGACAACTAGTTGTTGGAACACCTTGTAAAAAGTCTGTCGAGTTCAACAGTCTTGTAGCACGTTCTCACCAAGCTGGTAACAAGCAGTGCGAACACATCCTCATGATAAGTTGTTGAAAGTTACTGTGTTGGTACAAGCTAATCTGTTGCAGATTTAGGATACTTTTAGTATGTCTACGTCAATTGTTTCTCAATAATTGTTTCTTTCTCATCCGATAGAAAAGGAAACAAAACAGACATTCAATTTTCAAAGGTTTGTCAATGAAAATTATATTTGTTATATCATGCTGTAACCAGTACAGGACATTTAATACATTAACATCGTTTTTGCATTAATGTTTCCCCACATAATATATAATTGTCGAAAATTTTTGACGGGTGCACAATCGGCGACAGCACTACAATTTCTAAATCGTTTCTTTTTTTCTACAGAAATACATTCCCAATGAGATCAGTCGACGATGGCGAGTCATCCTATGCTTCTCGCGGCTCTAAACCGATCTATGCTTATTCAGTGGACTCGAGCAGTATCCACAGTCAAACTAACCCGAATAATGCCTACGCTGTACCGGAAGGTAGCGACGGTTCCCCGTTGGTGCGTCTTCGGAACAACTCGCTAGCTCTCGGCTCTGACGCGAGCAGTTACGATGTACCGTATTCTTCAGTCGCTGAAATCGGAGTCGACCCTACAACACCCCACTCGACTGGCGAGACCCCGCGCCATTTTGCCAATGCGCTGTTCACAGAGCGAGAACTCGAGGACACTAGGGGTGAAACAGAGTCCCTGGACTCGCATGCGGTATTTAATCCCATATATGAACCCAACTACCCCCAAGTACCCCACCCTGAAAACGTGCAGGGGGGTGTGGAAGATTTTCCAGAAGTCGAAGGTCCGATTGGTGTGCATAGTTACGAAGTTCTCTTTCTGCCTCCACCTCCCCCGGAATATTCAGATTTTGGCGACGATACAGATGAACTACCGCATGCATATACTAACGCTGTCACCGACTTTTAATACTTTTTATGGTAGAAAGATGTAAAATATTGCTTTTTAATTAGTAGAAAGGCAGTTTTACACACATACAATGTAATATAGACATAACCGAAATGTCCACATAGTAAATATGATTTTTTGGCCAGCATAATTTCTCATGAACTAATCGGATGTCGCCATCCCCAAAACATCCAAATGTTTTTTTTTTCTTGGTAACATTTTTCAGGCGAGTGGAAACAAGCTTTTTGTTGCTGCTTCGCAGACTATATGCAAACGCATCAGTGCTGGTCGCAGGCCAAAAATGTAATGCAAGCGCTTTTCGGTAAAGTTCCTTACAGTAAGGACATTTTAGCAAAAAAAAAAGGAAGAGTGAGGCCATTTTAGGAAAATTCTAACCGGACATTCTACTAAATAAACTTCTAAGAATATTTTTTTAAGGAAATAATTTATTTTGGATTTCGGGGGGTTTCAGTAGATCTGAACTTCCACTCCAGTATCAATTTCTTCTTTCATTAAATACAAAATTAATAGACGCATATTCATTATACAAAGTACAAACTTTAGTCAATTTGGTGGATGTTCATGTTTTCGCTCGCTTTTCTGGTTTATATAAATGATTGGTGGATGTTATTTATCAAAGACATTCCTTTTAGAAAGCACAGGAAATGTAGGCGGCCTAGCCGTTAAAAATTGTGATTAAATTCTGAACACTATCTAATTAAAGCCTATTGTCGTATATCAGCTTACTGCTGAAAGCACATTGGAATAAAGAATTTTTTGTGCTTTACAAAAAGCATTTTACCAATATCACGAATGACACTATACTGCTTATATTACGCAGGGCCTTTTTTAAGGATTTTCCCGTGGGGGGGGGGGGCATTTTTTGAAAAGGGACCTTTCTGTGAGATAATATATTAGAGGGGGATAGCAATGGCTGAAAGCCACGTGTGTGGCAAATATACCACGCATGAATGGGGGGTCTGGCGGTGTACTCCCCCAGAAAATTTTTGAAATTTGACTCCCGGAAATGTCATTTCCTGCATTCTGAGCATCCAAATTTGCTCCAAAATTTATCCTAACTATACTTGTATTTGAAATAAATAAAGGAAGAAACACACAAAAAGTAAAAACAAAATTAACCATCATTTATCATTACTTATTAGAGGAGGATAGCAATGGTCAGGTGTGTGGGGGTGTACTCCCCCAGAAAATTTTTGAAATTTGAACCACAGAAATGCCATTTCCTGCATTCTGAGCATCCAAATTTGCTCTAAAATTTATGCTAACTATAGTTGTATTTGAAATAAAAGATGGAAAAATGCACAAAAAGTAAAAAAGAATATTAACTGTAATTTATTATTACTTATTAGAGGGATAATCCCAAGAACATTTTTGAAATTTGAAACCGTGAAATGCTATTTTCTGCATTCTGAGCATCCAAAATATAAAAAAAATATTAACAATAATTTATCATGGCTTAGTGGTAAAAAAGTAACAATTTAAATCGATTTTGTTAAACAAGAACAAAGGATAAAGCCTACAACTTACTTTCTGTTTATCTATTTGTTAATCTTCACTGGATTGTTTGTATAATTTTAGGAAAAAGGGACTTTTCCTGGGGGGGCAAAATGTGATTTCGTTGGGGGGGGGCACAAGGGGGGACTGGGGGGGCAAATGCCCCCCCCCAGCTTGTATGTTAAAAAAGGCCCTGATATTACGCTTCGGTAATTATTCGGTCCAAGCATTTAAATTAATTATATATACCACAGTAATACAAGTTGTTACAAGTCTACAAACTGCTTGTTCCCATTGTTGTAACAAGTTTGGAACAAGCTGTTAACAACTTGTAACAAGCTTGATGGCATTATCAGGCTTGTTACAAGGTTGTTCTAAAAAGTCTGATACAGTCACGATATAACAAGAATGTTACAAGTTTGATCAACGCAAGGTTGTAACAATATTGCTGTATATATAATGATTGTATCGGACTTGTTGGAACAACTTGCAACAAGGTCTGACAATATCAACAAGGTTGTTAAAAGTTGTTATAAATAGCGAGGTTTAGCAAAGACGACGCGACGTCAAAGACGACGTGAAAATGGCGTAAAAATGGCGTGATATGCCCATCTATGGATGTGCGCACGCCATTTTTACGCCATTCTCACGTCGTGGTTGACGTCGCGTCGTCTTTGCTAAACCTCGCTAATAACTTGTTGACAACTTGGGACAAGCAGTGCGAACACAACTTGTGTCAGGCTTGTTGACAGACTTGCTACAAGATGTGAGAAAACAAGTGCCTCATGTGACATATCTATTCTTGCCAAGTGCTGAACCATTTTTTATAGCTCCGCCTTTTTTAAGGTCGGATGTTTACCCAATAATTTACGGAATTCGTATGCATAACTGCATAACCATAACAACAAGAAAATGAATTGCAACTTGCAAATGAGTTCATTGTTTACAGAAAGAGAAAGATATTATAATAGCTTTTCTTATTGAAAATGACAAGAAGGAAATGATTTCGAACGGATAGAACTGTCCTGAAAACCTGAAGAGTGAAGGCATTTTTCACCGCTGCAACGAGTCACAGACATTTCGATATTTATTGAAGATTGTACAGAAGTATTAACAGAAGATAAATTTGTACAGAAAGATGTTGGCAAGGTATAAAATATTTTCTGTTTACTTTGCGCCTGTGGATGACGATGCTGCACTACATTGACAATCATTGTTAATCTATTATCGCTTCGTCCTTACTGTAAAAATATGAAATAAACAGAATCTTGCAGTGGAGGTTGCTGTATATATTACTGTAAACCGTGGCATGCAACGTCTGCCAATATCGTTCTGGTTTTATAATATTGTTTCGCTATTGCTTTCATTGACTTGCCGTTTCCTGTGTATTGTTGCAGACCAGTCATTGGCCTGCTTTATAGAGACAGACCGATGACAACCTCATATGAACATTATTCGTTTAGTTTATGCCTAAATTTCTTTTATAGGGCAGGTTTTATGTTACATCAGAACCTTATATTAAATAATCCGTCCAATGATAAACACGTACAGGCCGCAGGCATTCAGACAGACCAGTTGCATGCAAGCAGACAGACTACTTAATGTATAATTCTTCTTGATGGTTGATCTGTCTGTTTGCTCGTGTTTTTACACAGTGAATTATCAGACGAACTTTGTTTCAAACTTTCTCTGACGCTGCTCTGACTGAATGCAGTGTCCATTTGGACCACCTGTCACTTTATATATAAAAATACAGCCAAATGAATGTATAATTTGCAGAGAAAAGGACATGTTTTTCCATATGTTTGGTAATGATCAAAGATTCTGAACCAAACTTCCCCTTTGTAGAACAATTAGTCTAGTGCTATCCAAAAAGAAATCTGTTTGTTGAGACAAAAACACTCGAACTGACACGAGCTTATACTTATTGATATAGCTTAAATAATAAACCTTAAGGGGCCTAAAAAAAGCCATGTGGTTTCTAGTAGGCTCCTAGCTCATTTCTTATATATATCTATTCCTTGTAATTAATGAGACGAGGTCGAAAGATCGGGGCTCATCCTTGATCATAACCCAGGCTATATATTAACAATTCAGTTTTAAACTTATCATTGATCAGACAAGCTCCATACAGACCAAGCACGTTTGACCTAAATTTTACAAATTTTGTCATATGTATGTGTGCACAGAATGTTATTGAACATTTATCGATCTCACTTCAAAGATGCCTTTTGTTTTGCAAAACCATAGAACTATTTCTTCTACACTTAATTGTCAAGTCCTAGAAATGGCAGCTGTACACGTATGTCTGTGTCGAAAAACTGGCATGACGAGCTTTTGAACAAGGCTCCTTGGCAGTGGCGGAAATCTTGGTGGGGACGCTATCTTCGGAAAATTGCGCGTTTTTGGAATTTTGACCTAAAGAGGGCTAAAGCCTTTTTTGGGGGGGGGGGGGGTATGTCGGAAATTTGAAAGTTTTGTCGGAAATTTAGGAGGCTTTGCCCTCCTCCACCGGAAAAAGTAAATTTCCGCCACTGCTCCTTGGCAAGGAAAAATGGTCAATTTTTTGCCGTACACACAAATATGATTATGCAATTCATCTACATATGGACATCTGGCAGTTAAAGTGGAAGTCAAGTCCGTTCTGTGCATCGTTTCTGCTCATAACAATATGTGAGGACCTCTAATGTGAACATTGCCCAAATTTCAAATGTTTCGAATTTTTTTGAACATAAACTCTATTTCGTATTCATTTAGAAGAATTTTTTTTAAAAGCAAACCAAAATGGTGTTAGATATTCAGACAGTACATCATATTTTAAAAAATACAGCAGTTCAAAATGTAAACAAACCGTTTGTTTACATTACGGACTTGACTTCCACTTTAACCTGTCTTCATAATAACATGTTTTTGTGTATTAACATTTAAGTACACATATGGCATATAAACAATATATATCAGACATATACTATAGGCATGACTGTTTCCCAAAACCTTATAACGGTCTATTCTAGTTTTTTGATAGAAGGATTGCATGTATTTTGCACTCGCTAAACTAACGACAATTTAATATCAATTTAGTTTTTTACTGCATGAGCTTCATATTTAATGAAGCAGTAAAAAAGGTTTATTTCAGCTGTTAGAGCTAGCTTGGTAGTTAACACGAGAAGATAAAAGTCATATCGTCAAGCCACTGTGTAATGTTCAATTTATTAAATAGTCCCAAGCAAAAAATTGTATAAATACTAAAAGTCACATGATCAATATCTTCACTAGTGAAGATATGGAAAACATCTCACTGCATAGGCAGCCCAATGTTATGGTTGCCTGCGTGCGGGCGAGGCATTGTATACAATGCCTTGCAGGCAGGCAACCATAACATTGGGCTGCCTTAATGCTCACTGTTTATTTTTCAGTATCTCACTCTCTACTATATAATAAACTTGATTATGTTTTTCCATAAAACTTGTCTGGATCAATAAAATTTGGATTTAGCCACAATTTTGAAATAAAGGGACAGAGGGACTATATATATGCAAAAAAATACACAAACAAAACAGTGGGTAATAAACCAAATAAATATAACCAATATAGCTAAAGTAACCAATTTGTTTTTTAGGTGCTGTAACGCCCTGTTACATCGGTATTCAACGTTTCTCTACAATTATCCACAAATCTTTCTCATACTGACACCAATATTTCTCCTCATTTGTGTGATTTTTTCGTTTGTACCCCCGGTCGGACCTGATGCTCCTGACTTTTCCGAGCCAACGGAGGTAAGGTAGATTGACTAGGGTTAAGTTCCATTGTGCCAGAATGTGCTCTGATTTATTATTTTACTCTGTCTAACACAAGGGCGGAGGGGTGGAAAAATTTCTAGTCGGGTGCAAGCGGCACCACTGAGCGAGCTTCGGCAGGGATTAGGCATTAGGGTTAAAAACTTTAAGACAAAATAGGAGAGGTAAATCGAAATATTGGTGGGATTGAACACTTTATAAGAGGGGTTAGAGAGATTCTAGGGGGGTTAACCCCCCAGTAAATCCGCCCATGGTCTAACACCAGACGATTTTACTTGTCAAAGGGATAGCACTGGTGCCCAATGGACAACTTGCATGTTAGAAAAGAGAAGGGAATTTTAACACAACAGTTAAAAATAAAATAATGAAATTAGTAAAATTGCAAAATTTGGTTGCAAAATGTTGTAAAATGCAGAAAATATAGCCTTGCGAAGTTTGCATATTTTCAGTATATTTGTATTATGTGCGGAAATTGTTACCATTTTTGGCTCGAAAATGGTAACAATTTCCGCACATAATACAAAATGACTGAAAATTGCAAACTTCGCAAGGCTATATTTTCTGCATTTTACAACATTTCGCAACCAAATTTTGCAATTTTACTGATTTTAATAAGTTCTTTACGGGAATTTACTTTTTTTTGCCTAAATAAAAAATTTGTCTAACATGCAAGTTGTCTATTGGTTAGTCAGACTGTCTGCCCATGTGTCGAGTTGAAGTTGCACTTTCCTCCAATGTTGCATTGCACCCCAATGTATACCTTGCTTTATTATTTTACTCGGCCTCTCACCCGACAATTTTATTCATCAAGGACAAGGGGAGAGGGCTGACACTAAATGGGTTAATTACAAAAATTCTTTCATTTATGAGACTTTTAAGCCTGGCGCACACGATGCGATTTTAGTCGGCCGATAAAAATCGTTTGACTAAAGCCTGGCGCACACGATGCGATTTTAGTCGGCCGATAAAAATCGTTTGACTAAAACTAACAAAATCGTTGTGTGTGCGGTGTCATTTTTAACCGATTTTTCTTGCTCGATTTTAATAGGACAACATCAAAACGTTTTGATATTTAATATACGATTTTTATCGGTGGAATTTTAAGTATAACCAATCAGATTTCATGCTGTGATCACGTGCTTGTATTTATTTGGCAACATGGCGGCTACAGTTCAGGGAGCATATTTTTTTCGTAATCGTGTGCGGAGTATACCGATGTATACCGACTAAAATCGCATCGTGTGGGCCAGGCTTTACTGACAGATGTAGTGGTTTCTCTGCAAAATAAGCACACATGCAGCCCCCTTGCA